CTTCTTTCTGTGTCTTGAACATGTTATGTTGATATACCTTAGGACTCATGCGCCAGCTGTCCTCACTGCCTAGAACTCTCTGCCTCCAACTATTTAACAGGCTGGCTGCTTCTTTTCATTCTAGAAACAGATCAAATGTTACCTGCAAGGAACATCTTCCATGAGCATTCAATCAAATATGGTTCCTTTTTACCCATAACTATCAGTCTCCTTCACTTTAATTTTCTCCATAGCATTTATAACGATTTCATCTTACCTTGATTATTTATTTATATTTCTTTTTTATCTGATATTCTTCCAGTGCTTAGAATAATGCTTTGCACAAAAAGACATTCAAGATGTCTTTTGAAGTTAAGTGAATAAATCGGTGGGCCCCCATTTTTTCCTTCAGGTACACTTTCAGGTAATCTAACCTTATATCTGTAAGTAGATGACTCTCACATCTTTGAAAATCATATAACCCAGGTATCGAAGAAGAAATCATCAGAAAAATTTGAAAATATTCTTAAGCAAATTACAATAAAAATACAACATATCAAAACTTATGTGATACAGCAAAACAGTGCATAGAGGGAAATGTATAGCCATATATTAGAAAAGAAGTACTAAAATCATTGACTCTTAAAGGTGATCTTATGTCATCCATATGTAGATGATCCTCAAGTTTTTATCTCCCACCCAAATAACACCCCCTGAATTGCAGGCGGCTCTATCCAGCTACCTTACCTGATACCAATTTTTAGGAGACTAACAAGAATCTCAAACTTAAGTAGGTCCAAAACATAACTCTTGACTTTTTGGCCCCAAATGATCTTTCCCTCTATCTGCATTTTAACAAATGACACCTTCAGTTTTACATTTGCTTAAGTCCCAAATTTAAGTCTTCCTTGATCCTTTCCTGTCTTTCACCTCCCAATTTCAATCTTCTCAACGTATCCTCTTAATTCTATTTCTAAAATACATTTCAAATTGTCCAGTTTAGAATTGGAACAGAAACAACCACATGCAAAGCGAAGTGTTCCTGACTCATAAAACAGATAAACTGTACCAAACCATGATGTGCAAAACAAACTGTCTAAGCTTAATTTAGAACTATGTGTTCCAAAACAAGTATATAGTCATAGTAATATTACACAGATTCACATGTTCTAAAGATAGGGCCACTGACTGTTCTAGCAATAGAGCTGGTTTACAAATCCTTGACTAAACCACCCAATGACTATTGTATCTCCAGTGGAATTTTCTTTTTGACTCTTTATTTTTGTCAATTTTTGCCTCAAATGTATGATTGTTATGACTTTGTGATGATTGACTCTTTTATTGTTACGAAACATTTCTCTTTATCTCGGTAATACTCTTTGTCTTAAAGTCTATTTGATATTAATAGCCACTCTGATTTTTTTNCCAATAAATATAATTAAAAAAAAGAAAACCATAAATGCTACTCACATGTAAGGCATTACTTTTTTTTTTCCTCCTTGCTTAGTCATGAAGAAGTTTCCATACATACCAACATCAGAAACGAAAAAAATCACAAAGCCTTTGCTGCATGAAGTTAAATTTTAGAAACTGTATGAAGCAGCCTTATCAGGTTGCTAGGTAAAGTTTTCTTCCAAGATATTTTTGGCTGCTTGTCTTCTCCCAGGAGAAACTTTTAAAGTAAGTTATTTGTTAAAGCGAAGTGTGAAGCCAGCATGCTAATGATGTAAAGTACCCAGGGGAGACACACTTTTATTAGATTTTCACTGGTTCACAAAGCAGAAAATATTTTGTTTCTTCTATCTTAAGAGCTATTTTGCTACACATCCAATGGCAAGGGCTTTTCCATGCAAGGGCATTTTCTTTTTGGCATAATTTACAGTTATGTCAAGGTGTTACCAATAATGGCGATGGGGAGAATTTTGACACATAGGGAATTTAAGAAATCAAAAGTCTGGAAAAATCACCCTTGGCTTAGTCCTCAGAGGAATGTGGGAACCTAACATTTAATTAGATCTTGGTGAGAGAGCAAACATTGTTTGTAAGAAAAGGAACAACAGTGGGACTACACCATCCTCATCTACCTTGATGGCCTCTGTGCAGAGAGAAGCAGGAATTTTCTATGATGCTTCCCTGAGAACAATTGTAATAGAAGGTACAGCTGGAGGAGGACAACATGCTATGAGAACAAGAAACTCTTTAGAGAGAAATTTGCTAAATAAAAATTATCAAACAGCATTTATTCATTCAGTCAGTAATATTTATTAAGCATCCACTGTCATGGCACTGTGGTCAATCCTGTGGAGGGATGCAAAGAGTAACCCTTGCCCTCAGCATGCTCACAGTCTGAGATAAGACATAAAGAACTATAATAGAGTTTAGAAAGGGACGCATGATGGTTATCCAACTTCTTAAAACTCTTTGTAAAGTCAGTTGGTAGGAAAATATTCAAGTGACCTTTCAGAACACACACACACAATACCTTATATTTTAAATAATTAGTCCACTATTTCTTGAACTGAAAAGGTATAGTCAACAAGGCAAGGAATCTCCAGGGGATTTCAAGAGAAATGGTGCAGTCTTCATACACTCACCATTCAGTCAGTCATTTTTTTCATTCAGTAAACATTTGTTAAAAGCAGCTGCTATGTGCCTGGCACTGTTCTAGAAACTGGGAAATAAAAATATAAAAACAAAGTGCCTGCCCTCGGGAAGTTTCAAGTATAAAGTCATTGAAGGTCTTCCAGATGATAATAATAAGTAAAGAGCAGCTAGTTCTGGGCAGGCCGAGTAGCGCGTTGGTTAAGAGTTGGCTTGGGACGCTGGCTCTGAGAAGCAGGGCCTCGGTTCGGATCCCACATGAGGGCCAGTGACCTGCACCCTCTACGGCTAAGATGGTGAACAACAGCTCGATCTGGAGCTGGGCTGCTGTGAGTCACCAGCGACGGCGTAGGCTGCAGTGAAGCTGCAGTGAGCTCCTATAAGCTACTGTGAGTGGCGGGCAGCCCACATGAGTGGCCGGGCAGCCAGCGTGAGCTGCCAAGAGCTGCCATGAGCAGCCGTCCAGTGACCAGTGACCGATCTGCCTCACCCAGGAAGAGNTCACCCACTGAAATGTAACAACTTGAATTAAGGCGTTCCAAAGCCACATGCAGACTATTTTAAAAGGTTATTCTAAAAGACAGGATGGAGATGGTGGGAGTGTGGCCGATGGATGACCACCAGTAAGTACGCTGAAGGCCTCCCCCTGAAAAGGGTATACCAATGTCAGTGAGAGGCAACAAGCAGCTGCGAAGTTTATTGCTTGCGATAACAAATGAGTTAAACGTAAATGAAAACAAGGCGTGTTAGCCACAAAAATTGTTTCTGCGTGTGCGCAACAACCAAAGTCTAAGGAAAGTGGTCTGAGAGTAAACAAAACTTTTTCTGAGAGCCGGAGTCTTAAGGGTTTAACTGACGGGGGCGGGCCGGGATTTGTCTGACGCCAGACGCGGAAGAGGCTTTCAGCTGACCCGAGATGGGAGAAGGCGGAAACGCCGGTGCCCCTGACCCTTACAATTCCCAAAGGGGCGTCACATATGGTTTGTCTATGCTGGAGAAGCGGCGGACGGACGCTAGGGCCCACAGTACTGCTAACTAGTGTCACGACTCACTTACCTTTCCCATTCGGAGGCAGTGGTAAAGTCCGTGATCTCAAATACCTCGGACTCGGGCTGCGGGAAGGGGAAGGAAAAAAAAAGAGAGAGAGTCAGGACGGGGCGCTGTCGCGGAGGAGCGAACGCACGCGATAGGGAGAGAAGAGCAAACACCTCACCTCACTGTCAGCCGCCATCTTGAAGAACGCCGGCGGGCGCTAGGGCTGCTGGGAAAAGCGAAGAAGGTCAAGGGGAGGAGGGAAAGAAAGGCCTAAAGCACGCTGGGGCGGGGCCTCTTGTAGCCCCGCCCTCTGAGGCACCTCTCCTTGTTAGTGAGCCTTTCTTAGAAAAAGTCTTCTAGGGCTGAAATAATTAGATTTTTATAAAATGGTTTGAACTTGAAGTTTTCCTGTAAAGTAACGAATTCGGGAAGGGAACAGACGCAAAGAGGTAAAACAAGGCCCTAGATTCCCATGGAAAAGATTGTATTAAAAGACCTAAAGCAAAAGAACGAAATCTTGCTGGTTTGGACTACATGGATGGATCTAGCAGCGGTTCTCAACCTGTGGGTTGCAACCCCTTTGGGGATCCAACGACTCTTTCACAGGGGTCGCCTAAGACCATCGGAAAACAAAAAGATATTACGATTCATAACAGTAGCAAAATTACAGTTATAGAGTAGCAACTAAAATCGTTTTATGGTTGGGGGTCACCCCAACATGAGGAACTGTATTAAGGGGTCGCGGCATTAGGAAGGTTGAGAACCTCTGAAGAGGGTATTATGCTAAGTGAACTAAGTTAGGCAGAGGAAGACAAATATGGTTTCACTGATATGTGGAATCTAGAAGCAAAACAAACAAAAACACTCAGAAATAAAGACCATGGGGATGGTTGATTAAGAGAAGGGGGTGGTGAGGGGAATGGGTGAAAAGTGGAAGAGGAATATAGTCAATAACATTGCGTTAAGTTTACGGTGAGAGATGATTACTAAAATTAGTGGGGTGATCACAGTTTAAGGTATAAAAAATGTCAAATCATATATTGTATACCGAAGCTGATATAACCAATATGAGATTGCATACCAACTATACTAAAAGCACATTGAATTTGTTTTCATTCATCCTCTTACTATTGATTTCAGGGCACTAAGCTAGGTGCTGTAATAGACACACTTCCCTACCCTCACCCCCTCTAAGAATTTACGCAGTTTGGTTAATCCAGGAAATAAAAATCACCATGCTAGTTATCTGGTTTCTGAGAAGAGCAGCATGCTTTTCAACGAACACTTTACTTTTTTAAGTCATTGAAACAGAAGGGGTTCTAGCTACCACTTAATTATATCTCATACATTCTGAAGTACTTACAAATAAAATGATAGCATCTCCAGGATTTGCTTGAAAATGGAAACTCAGTTTCCAGTAGGGAAACGAAATTTGCTGCATGAACAGAAAGAAGAGGTGCTACATGTGTCAGCATCACTGTTAGCAATGTGGAGGTTAATTAATGGTAACCTTGACAAGAAGAATCTTCAAGTATACAACGGGGGCAGTCAGATTGGGGGTAGGGAAGGCTTTTAAGCAGAGGGAATAGCATGTCCAGGGGCTCCAAGGCAGAAAAGTCTGATCTGTCTAACGAATCAAAGAAGAGCACCTAGAGCACAGTGTTTGCGATGAAGTTGGAGAAGTAGTTGTGGGCCAGACCACATAGGACCTTCCAGGCCAGGGTTGGACTTTATTTGAAGCACAATGAAAGTCACTAAAATGTTTTAAGAGAGTGATGTGATCCAATTTACATTTTTTAATAGCCTGGATGCTATCTGAATAGATGGGGTGGGGGCAAAAGAAGTAGGAACAGCTGGTGACTATTAAAGCATCCAGTGAGAGATGGTGGGGAGACTTTGACTAGGGTGGTCAGCAGACCAGGTGAACTTATGTGATACGTTTTTGGAGATACAATAGATAGACAGAACTGGATGATGAATTAAATGTAGGGATAAGGGAAAGGGAGGAATAAAACACAAATTTCTGGTTTCTGGTCTAAGCAACTGTGTGAGGATGATGCCATGTCCTGAGATGAGAAAAATGGAAAGGAGCAAGGAAAGTAGTGTTTGGTTTGGCAAGTGTTAAGTCGGACAGGCTTGTGAGACATTCCAGGGAAGTTGTGAAGGAGAAAGTTGGGTATAAGAATAGAACTCAGAGGCAAGACCTGGTGTGAAGATATGAATTTGGGGGTATTTTAAATAATAAGAATAGATGGTGTGATTTAAGAAGAGAATATAGAAAGAGAATTAAAGAAGCCTCATATAAAGTCCAGAAGAAATTTTGTGTTTAGGGATGGAAACNTGGTCACAGGCAAGGCTGAAATTGACCTTCACGAGAGACCCTCCCAAGAGACACCAGAAACAACATACCCGGAGGCCAGTTTCAGACCATACCAGAGCACTACCTGGTTAGCTCCACAAGCAGCACACCCAAAGGGGGGGGGTCTCAACAGGCACAAGAGCCCACGGGGATGAATTTCCTCTGAGAGGTCAGCCCCCACACAGCAACTCATACACTATGGATGTAGTCAATCCTCACAATCAGTCAGCCTGGGTGTCAGTCCCACCCACTGATGCACGAAAAGCAATCAAGGCTCAACTACAACAGGAGAACACACACAACACACACAAGGGACATTCCCAGAACACACACACAGGGGATCAGGGAGACTGCACCAATGGACCACACAAGACACATACTACATTAGGCCACTCAGCAAAGATTGAGAGACAGAAGAGGTCTACCTAATACATAGAAGCAAACACAGGGGAGGCAGGCAGAATAAGGAAACAAAGAAATGTGTCCCAAATAAAAGAACAGGAGAAACTGCCAGAAATAGAACTAAATGAAACAGAGGCAACCAACATATCAGAGACAGAGTTTAAAACACTGGTCATAAGAATGCTCAGGGAAGTTAGTGAGAACTTCAACAAAGAGATAGCAAGCATAAAGGACATAGAAACCATTGAAAAGAACCACTCAGAAATAAAGACTATAGTAACTGAAATGAAGAATACACTAGAAGGAATCAACAACAGATTAGATGAAGCAGAGGATCAAATCAGCAATTTTTATTAATTCTGTATTTCTACATAAACATTCATATTAACCATGAATAATGTCAATTTTGTTTCTTTCTTTCCAATCTTTAACATTTTTTATCTTTTCCTTTATTCTTCTGTTTTTCTTTGGCCTTAATATGCTGACTAAAATCTCCAGTACAATGTTGAAAAAAAGTGGTGATAGGAATATGGGTTCTCATTTTCACCTACATTTTGGCCTGGTAATTTTTTATTACCTTGTTAGTTTTTCTTTACTGTTAAGGAAATTCTAAAATATTTTACTCAGCAGTTTTATTTGTTAACTGTAGAAGGATTGGTCTAAATAACATAGCCTACCATATTCCTGAAAAACCTGAAACATGCTTTTTTAAAAAAAAAAATCTCTTGATTCAGCTCCTTCCATTTATCTTTGCTGTTATTGATTTAAGTCACCATTATTTTTTTCCTGACCCATTACAATAATCTAATTTTTCTATCTGTCCCTCTCCTTCAGTTAATTTTCAATCCTGCTATCAGGAGGAACTTTCTAAAATACAGATTTGATCATGTTTCTCCCTGAATGTTTTCAATATTTTGTGCTTGTATCTTTCCTCTGGACATGCTGTTGTTTAGTCTACCTGCAAGGTCCTTCTGTCTGTGATTTACCTGGTGAACTATTTGTCTTTCAAGTTTTAGCTCAGATAATTATCTCTTTTCTGAAGACTCCCAATGTAATTCTGTTACGGGCTGAACTGTGTTCCCCCAAGATTCGTATGTTGGAGCCCTAATCCCTAGGATCTAGAGTGTGACTGGATTTGGAAATGAGGCCTTTAAAGAAACGATTAAGTTATAATGAGGCCATTCGAGAGGACCCTAGTCCAATCTGACTGGAATCTTTATTAGGAAAGGTGATTAGGACACATGGAGAGACACCAGATACGCAAGCACACAGAGAATAAATCGTGTGAGGACATAATGAGAAGCAGCTATCTGAAAGCCAACAAGAAAGGCCTCAGGAGATACCAAACCTGCTGACCTTGATCTTGGACTTCCAGCCTCAGAGTTGTGACAAAATAAATTTCTGTTGTTTAAGCCGCCCTGCCTGTGGTATTTTGCTATGGAAGACCTAGAAAACTAATATACCCTACACCTTCCAACTCAGAAAGTTAGATGCTCCCCGTCCCTGCTTCTGTAGAGCCTTTTACACAGTGATGGCCTTATCACTTACTATTGTTTTTGTTTTGCATGCCTGACTCACCACTGTTTCTGAAAATCTGAGTTTCTTGGAAAAACATGATTTGAATGAATGAATGACTATTTCTCAAAATGAGAGACAAGAAAAGGATTACTCTTTGGGGAGCCAATTGAAATACTGATGGAATGCAGACCAGCCTGAACACAAGGGTAACCCTGCAGCGATCCTAAACATCAGAAACCCACAGTACTTATCACTTTCTCTTGACATAAAAGCTAAGAGAGGGACGCCAGTTGGCTCAGGTGGTTAGAGCACAGGACGCAGTGCTCATAACACCAAGGTTGCTGGTTCGATTCCTACATGGGCCACTGAGCAGCGCCCTCCACAAATGGATTGAAAATGACTTGACTTGGAGCTGAGCTGCGCCCTCCATGACTAGACTTGACTTGGAGCTGATGGGTTCGGGAAAAACACACTGTTCCCCAAAAAAATTTCTTTAAAAAAAAAAAGCTAAGAGAGAGTACTATTCTACTGGGAGAAGAAAACAAGGTAGGTTGTAGGGAGTAAAGCAGAAAGTAACAGCCTGTATGTGCTTGGATTAGTGTCAGATTGCTTCAGTTTGAATTGGGTGATGAAAGAGTATACATAAACCTAGCAATCTCTGAGTGGTTTTTACCCTGAAGTCTTCACTCACTAGAGAAGTGTGTGTGAGAGCTGTGTGTCAGCATAGTAAAAGTGGTGAATATTTCAACATTGTGCTCAGGCTGAGTAGGTTGAATCAATTAGCTCTACCAATTATTAGCTTAAAATTTCTAAGCCTTACTGTCCTCATCTGTAACATGGGAATGATGATGATTATAGAACTGTTGTGAGGGTTAAATGACATCATTCATGTAAAGGACTGAACTAGTAAGCATTAATAAACATTAGTTGTTATGATAAAATATTTGTACCTTATTCAATTAAGTACATATAATGGAAAGTACATCTTTAAAAGAGAACCCCGTGCATCCTTCAGTAAGTGGCAGGAAAAAAAACGAGCAGCACAAAAATGCCAGATGACCTTATGTTTTGGAGTGCCCTGAGTCTATTTCCTCATGAGTATGCTTTTATAGTCCACAATTTAAAGTCTCTTTCATCTGAGTTTATTACCCTCTATGACTCAAACAAAAATGTAGTCCATTTACTGAAGCTTTGACTCAAACAAAAATGTAGTCCATTTACTGAAGCTTTGGCTTGGAAATATCACAAGTCGAGACAAGAAATATGTTCTAATGTAAGAATTTCCAATCACCAGTGGTTTCCCAAGTGTGACTCCAAGAATACAACCAGTTTGGGGGTAATCTATGGGTTCTCACTCTGTAAGATTCAGTCAGATTTGGAAAGCAGCCCTTCTGACACATCACAGTGATTACAAAGGTATGGCTTTCTTGGAGAAAATCTCAGTGGGGAGGTGGTTATGGCAATTGTGCCAATCATGGAAATGGGCAGGGATGCAACTTCTTTTAAGCACTTAAGCAGCAACTTTGAGGAGTGTACAACGCTTGTTTTCCTTCCTGGATGAGATTGTCCTGCTTTCAATTCTCCAAGCTAAATGCTCAGTGGGTGGTTGCCTGGGTGACAGCCCGTAAACTAAGCAGTCATTTTACAGCTAACTGAAGGGTTTGTGCATGCAGAACCAGCTTTAATTATTTTTTTTAAAGTACTTTGAGCTGTGCAACAGTGGAAAATAATCAACAAAAAAATCTAAATCTATGCTGCTTTTAAATGTATCTCTTGTTGAAGTGTGGGTTGACAAGCTGTCCCCGAAATCAGAGCTACAATGAATTAGGATGATGTGGACTGCTGTTTGGCTTGGGGTTTCTTCAGCTGTATACCAACTCTCTTGGCAAAAAGTACCATAGGTAAGCCAAATCTCCACTTTTCATCACATTTTAGATAATACCATATGTTATACCTTTTTTCACCCCAAAAGTTGTCCCAGAGGAGGAACATTGGATAAACTGATAGAGAAAACTGTGTCCACATCTCAAATAATTATATCTTTAGAGTTGTCATAAGCTATTTTTGACTTTTCCAATATTGAGACAATCCCTGCTAATACTTTATGCAAATGCCTCTAGGCCATAGGCTAAACTGGTAAGAACAAGAACAGCATATAAAATACTTGTTTCCGTTGAATTATACCGAGGGACAATCTTTTATTTTAATCCCCTCAATATGTATTAACTTTATGTGGTATAAACTTTCTTGTAATCACTCAGTCTTATTTATGTGTGTGTGTGTGTGGTGTGTGGTGTGTTCTTGGTCATATTTTCTCAACATGGAACAGGATTCCGGTTGTTTTGTCTTAATTACATAAGATTCCAAATCAAATGTACAGTGTAATAAAAAAGATTTTGTTTTAGAATTAATCATGCACACAATTAAAGGTAAAAGAAACTGGGCTTCAATAGATGCTATATCAGAAATCTTTGTGGAATGAAATATTATGGCTTAAAAATCATTCATCAAAAAATAATCCTAAAGGAAAAACTGAGAAAAGGTTTCTTATGAAAAAACTTAAAATGGAAATGTACAGATTGAAGACCAGAGGAGAAAAGGGAGCTCACTAATCAAAAGTAATGTGGGTCTGTCCCTGTTAATTGAAAGAACGAACTGTACCGGGGGTTGCCAAAAAAATTTATACAAGTGGACAGACACTTTGGTCAACATTGCTCAAGCAGTAGTTCGCAGTAATCAAAAGTGTCTGGACGCTGATGGTAACCACTTTGAGCAGCTTTTGTAATTGCAGAAGTCAAGTGTGAATTGTGTTCATCTTTTGTTATCGGTATATTGAGTATTACAATTTTAATACAGTTTTCCTTTCTTAATGTGTGTATACATTTTTTGGCACCCTCTGTATATAGGAATACTGCTATTGTCAATCATTACTGTCTTCCTCTACTTGCTACTGAGTAAGTGAGATAATGGATAACCAAATAATGACCACACTGCCCAGTATTTTAGTAATTTGATTTGATAATTTTCGGGTTGCAGTTTGATTTAAATCTTAATTTTGATTTTTTTTTCCAGATAGTAGATAGTACCTGTGAAATTTTTCACTTAACTTAAACCACAACTCCATAGCATACATTGTCATTTCAATGCCAGGAGTAATAACCATGGGAAAAAAAATACCTTTGGTGTCTTACTTCCATTTTATGGATAAGCTGGTGATATAAATGTATATTTCTTGACTAATTGTTATTTGACTATCTGATTTTCAGCTTTATTGAAAGATAGGTTTTAATTATCATTTGTTTCCTAAAGCATTTCTTTTACCTGATATTGCAAATACTGTTGCATTTTCAAAAATAACTATATAAATACAAGTTGCAAAGCAGTTTGCTGGGGAAGATATGTATAGTAGTTTTCAAATGTTCTATGGCCTGGTTTCTTCCCTCAGCCAGCCCCTAATAAAGTTCCAAGTACACTTCTGCAATGCTAATGATTAGGATAATGATGATTAAGTGACAGCAATCAACCAATGTCTGCTTCCCTTAAAAGAGCTTAAAGTAAACAGTCAGGCACTACTGGTGGGAGTGTAAGTTTATACAGCCATTCTAGAGAACAATCCGGAAGTATTTGGTGAAATTAAATACACTCGGCCCATTCACCTCAGAAAAACTCTTGCATAGTGCGTAACAAGGCCTGAACAAGGATATTTATCACAGTGTTGTTTATGGAGTAGGAAGTTGGAGACAAGTTAAATATCTATCACCATGGGAAAAAAGATAATANTCTAGGAATGAAAATATTCATCCTTAGCTTTTCACAATTTATTTATGGTAAATATGTTGTATCACTTCTCATAAAATATAAGAGCCTTCCAACTATGTAAGTTCACTTGCTTTGCCAGTTTCCTTCGTTTTTTAAATTGAGGTGTAATTGATATAGTTCCTCTTTCCCTTTTATATTTACCCACATACGTAGTGTTTCTAGTGCTCTTCGTTCCGTCCTACAGGTCTAAGTTTCTATTTGATATCATTTCACTTTACACTAAAGATCTTTCTTTAGCACATTTTGTAGGGCCAGTCTGTTGGTGACAAATCCTTTCTGTTTTTATTTATGTAAAAATATCTTCCACTCAATGTCCTTCAGTTTAAAAAATTATTAATAAACTTTATTTTATTTTTAGCAGTTTTAGGTTTAAGAAAAAATTGATTGGAAAGCACAGAGTTCTTACATACCTCTCCCCCCAACACACACAGACCGCTTCTCCTATTATTTACACTTGTATTGGTGCAGTGCATTTGTTACAATTGGTGAACCAATATTGATAGGTTATTATTAGCTAAAGTCCATAATTTATATCAGGATTCACTCTTTGTGTTGTATATTCCATGAGTTTTGACAAATGTATAATGACACGTATCCACCATTACTGTATCATACAAAATAGTTCAATTGCTCTAAAAATCCTCTGTGCTCTATTTATTCATTCTTCCTTCCTACCTCCTGAATCCCTGACAACCACTGATCTTTTTACTGTCTCCGTATTTTTACCTTTTCCAGAATGTCATAGAGTTGGGATCATACTGAATGAAATCTTTTCAGATTGACTTCTTTCATATAACAATATGCAGTTAAGGTTCTTCCATGTGTTTTTGTAACCTGAGAACTCATTTCTTTTTATTCCTGAATAATATTTTATCATCTGGATATACCACGGTTTATTTATCTATTCAACTATTGAAAGACATCTTGGTTGCTTCCAAGTATTGGCAATAGTAAATAAGGCTGCTGTAAACATTGGTGTGTAGGTTTTGGTATGGACATAAGTTTTCCATACCAAAGGAGCACAACTGCTAAATCGTACTTTCAGATTATGTTTAGTTTTGAAAGAACTAAACATAAACTGTCAAACTCTCTCCAAAGTGGCTGCACCATTTTGGATTCCCACCAACAATGAATGAGAGTTTCTGTTGCTCCACACCCTTATCAGCATTTGTGTTGTCAATGTTTTGGATTTTAGCCATTCTGAAGGGTGTATAGTGGTATCTCACTATTGTTTTAATTTTCAATTTCCTAATGACATATGATGTAGAGCATCTGTATATCTTATTCGGTTAGGTTTATGTTCACAGATTTTTCCCATTTTTAAATTGGGTTGTTCATTTCTTATTGTTGGATTTTAAGAGTTCTTTATATACTTTGAATACCAATCCTTAATCAGATATTTGTTTTGCAAAAATTTTCTTCCAGTCTGTAATTTGTCTTGTTCTCTTAATGGTGTATTTTGCAGAACAAAAATTTTTAATTTTAATTAACTCCAACATATTACTTTTTTCTTTCGTGGATTATGCTTTTAATGCTGTATCTAAAAAGGTATCACTGAACCCAACATCACCTAAATAAGATTTGCTAAGAGAGCCACTTAAAATAGATTCCAGAGGCTATTAATGAAGTGGGGCAATACAGCCTGGGAGTCCCTGAGCCTTTTGCTAAACTGCCTCAGGCCCAATACTGCCGCCAGCCTTGGTTCACAG